AGACATTATAAATAAAATAATTTTTAATTTTATGATTCTTATAGTGTTGTGCATTTTAAATACAATATAAAGAAGCAACCTTTCCCTTTTTAAACTTGAAGTACAAACTTTTCATCAAACAGCTCCTTCCCAATAACTGCTGCTTTGTAGGACGCACTCCTGAAAGGATTTTTTTCCCCAATCACTACAGTCTTAATATCTTCAAGTCTAGGGTTAACCCTTATCTTTCCTACATACCCTCATGTTTTGCACATCTTGCCTTTTCTTATGCTCATACAACACCACACACTAACCTTCTACCTTAAATGGCTCTTGGGCCTCGTATTTGGTGAACATTAATAAAATAACATAAAAAAAAGGCTTCATGTCAGATTTAGTTTTCTATATATGCTTAACAATAATCTTTAAATCTTCTACAAGTAAAAACAAGATATATAATTTTTTGTAACAAAGCAGATTTTAATAAATATTCTACAATGTGAAATAATATATTCAGTTTTACAAACTAGTTTTTAAGTAGGTTGGTGAGGGGTGGGGAATAATTAAGAGAAAAAGGAAAAAGGCATTGTAGTGAGTGAGAGGTAACAAACATTAAAAAAGAATGGGCAAAAATGAAAAAGATAAAAGGAAAAAAGATAAATAATAAATAAATAAAAAAGATAAAAGAAAGAATAAGTAAATTAAAGTTAATGAAGAGTTAAAAGGACAAAAGATTGAGTGATTGAAAAAGAAAGTAATGAAAGAATTTTTTTTGTAAAAGAAAGACTGGAGAGGATATAAAAAGAAAAAGGGAGATCAAAAGAATGAAATTTCATTAAAAAAGAAAAGCAAAAAAAGAAATGAAAAATCAACAGTAATATTAAAGGAAGAAGAAATATAAACAGAATGAAAGCACTGAACCGTTCAATAGTATCTATGGATTTATCTAAAAAATATAAAAAGAATAGGTTAATTAAATGGTTCATTGGCCTCTATTTTAGTTGTGAATTCTTTATCTTGATGGAATTTTAATACATTGCTTGATTGCATCTCACTATTAAAACTTTCTTACAAGTGCCATCATTTTTGATGGCATGAGTACACTAGTTATATCTTGACTGAAAAATATTTTGACAGTTGAGTTAAAATAAGACAGCAAAAACCTCTGTTCAGTTATGAAATTATTTCACTACTCTGATATATGAAAGATACAAACAGATTGTGTTAAGTGTTGAAATTTTTTTTTTTATCAGTTTATCATATATGAAGGTACGCTGAAAAGTTCTCAGCACAATCCATTTCCAAAAATATGACTTAGGATTATATTTTTTTATCCTTTGTTGTTCAGATTGAGAACTCTTCAGAATCTTATACACATGCACACACAGACTGTTTTGATATAATACAAGCATCATACAACTGGGTCAGTGGGCCTTACTGACAAAGAGGAAATCAACTAGACTCTGTATAGCACTCCTAATTCCGGTGGTAATACTCATCCAAGCATACATAACCCACTGGAACCAGCCCCAAGAGCAATGTCTTCTTTCAGGAGTATCAGGACTAGCTAGTTAAATTTCCTCTTTGTTACCAAGGCCTGCTAGCCCAGTGGTATGATGCTTGCATTGCATTGCAACTGTCCGGGTTCAATTCTTGGTAGTTGATGCACACTGCTGATGAGTCTCAAAAAAGACAAACTTCCATCAAGTGCTTTCTGCATTCTGTTAAGGATACTTGTTCTAGACTCAATGAATTATTATGATAAATTATTCAAATCTCGAAAAATTTATATTCAGATTCTAATGCTCAGGATGGAGCAACTTAGTGAAAGAAAACATTGCACTTGAGCATTAGCAGATTATCACCATTCAGTAGGTACCACCACGAAATCACTAAAAAATCAGCATACTGTGATGAAAACATAATTAAAACATAGTTATATCATCAAAATCTTTGTTATTATTAAGAGAAAAAGTATTTTTTGAATATTTAATTAAATTTTTTTACTCCTTTTTAGAACATTCAAAATTTTTATTAAAAAATTTTGTTTTTCTTGTGTCAGCAGATGTACTATATTTTAGTGTCTTTTTTGCAGTGACAGACACATTAATTTGGAAATTCTTGCAAAAACCAAATAACTGTCAGATTTTAATGAAATTTTCAGGACTTATTCACAAATGATTGAAATTATTTTAGAAATGTTTTTTATTAGAAAATCTTGATAAAAATATTTTTTTTTACATGTGTTTCACTATCTTAATTTTATGAAAGCTTGAGAAATTCAACATGATAATTTTTAGTGACTATATTAGTTAAAAGTAGAATTCTTTGGAGAATTTAAAACACTGATTTGTTTGTTTTTTTTTTCTTCAAAATTGGACCTGGTCTTTCTAAAAAATCTGCTCTGAATCAAAGTAAAAGAAACAATAAAAATACATATTTTTAATTAAAGAAGCTTTTAATTGCTTTTATGAATAATATATATGAAGGTCAATATTGCCTTAAGAAAAAAAAATTTTGATGAAAAATGAATTTTTACAAAATTTATTTTCTTTTTTTTTAGATTTTAATTAGAATAATTTGTAATATTTTTTAAATCTTTTAAAATTCAGTTTCAATGGTGTAAAGATTGTTATTAAATAAAACTACATTTTGAAGCTTATTACAATCTGACATCTCCAGATATATTTTTTTTACATTTTGAATTGTTTTTGTATGTGTAAAAACGTGCCAAATTTTAAAGATACAGCCACCCATACCACAACACTATCAGAAAATAAGAGCACCAACTATAGTAAATTTAGTGCCTAAATTCTCTAAAATTCATCAAAACATTAGATTACGGAGAATATTTTTAAAATTTTTAAGATTACCAAGTACTTAAAAGGCACTCAATTTTAAGTATTTATTTTAAGGTAAAAGCATCCTTAAAACAACATTAAATAACAATCTATCTGTCATGCAGTTGTCACGGGGATGTTAAAAAGTTGTCAACATAAATAAGCAAACTTCTTTCATGTTGAAAAATGCATTTCTGTGATATTTTTAACTTAAAAAAATAATAGTTGTTTCAAATCAGATTAATTATACTTTAAATCAGCTAATATTCTTCAAAGTTTCAGAAAAATATATAGTTTATTTTCACATGATTTTTTTTTAATAAAGAGATTTACCTTTTTATAACACTACTAACAATGCCACTAAATTAAATTTAATCTCTTAGCTTGAAATTAAAGCTAAATTAAAAGCCTCAAGAAATATTTTTTATTATTAAAACTTCATTAAGCATCACATTTTTGTGGAGGTACCAACCATTCAGTGTTAAACTGTGTCCACACTGCTTATATTTACATACACCCTATCTGAATATTGATCACTTTTACCCTATGAATATAGTTTACCTGATAACCATTTTAAACACACACACACACACACGCACACGTGCACACACACACACACACACGCACAAAAAAAAATCCATGCTCAGGTTGACCACTTTTTGCTATGTCCAAAATTTTATTCTTTTTAATAAGATACTTTGAGATAAGGTCAATCCACAAGATTATTAGTTTTTATATTTCTTCTGGGGCCAAAAGGTCATACAAGCTATTAAGATCTGTTGTGGCCTATAAAACATTAAAGCCAAGATTAGACAACTGTATAGGTAGATGTAACAATTATTTTGCAGATCAATACCTGTGGTAACACTTTACAAAAATCAAACTTACAAGTCAGATTACTTATAACCAAATGAATGCTATGCTTGATTTCAATCAGGGAGCAGATTAATCAGATCTCCCTAATTTGTTATTTATTTGACATTTCTTCATATATTTAACTGATAAAATTATGTGATCTGTTTAGCAGGGAAAAGGGTTTTCTGATTATCATTCCTAATTATAGAATAATCTTATTCTGTAGGCTTATTTTTAACACAATATAGAAAAATATATACTGATATTAGCTATTTGTGATTTCTGTGAATAAAAAGATATCTAAAGATTTTAATTTTTTAACAATGTTCACTCTTTACAATGCCCAAGAGGCACTTGAGGTAGAGGGTTACAGAATAAAAGACACGGTTTATAGAGTTATGTGGGTGAAGATGACAGACCCTAGACTTGAACATATTAAGATTGTAGTGATTTGGGAAACATCTTCTTGGTAGTCTGTTCCACAGAGCAGCTGTTAATGTGAAGAAGATACAATTATAAAGAAATTTTGCAAATATAGACATGTATATAACATGTTACTATCTTAATTGGATCCATCATGTTGAAAGTTTTAATGAACATTATATTAACTTGGCTCTCATTGTTTTATGAAAGTCAACTCCTCACAAACCAGTTTGGTTTTTGTTCTGGTAAGGGATGGCATATTTGTCATCAAACAACTCCAAGAAATTGCTTACTTCTCTAATAGGAAACTGTGTACATGCTTTGTCAACCTCACAGCAGTATATGACCACATCAATAGAGACTTCCTCTTCTCGTCCATTAGAAAGCACCTTCCAAGCTTTGAACGTAACAATCTACAGAATCTTACATGTCTGGCGAGGATCCCAATACGGAAACATTTCAGACCTCATCAGTAGTATGACAATGAGGAAATGAAAGTCCCAGTTTATTTAATCTCTTCCTAGATTATGCTCTATGCATTTACAAGCACAGATGATGAGATGGGCAACAACCATTTAAGCATTCTATACCACATCTCAAACAAGTCTGCAATAGAAGATAACAATCCTGCTTTCCCTACCGAGGTCAATGTATTAATGATGAGGGGGTCTATGCTGGTGACATAGACATTCATAGTTGGAATAAGAATGATCTTTAACAGAAAATCAGTATCCTCTATCAAGCGTTCTAAGAAATAGGACCCAAGATAAACCTTTCCAAAACAGAAACTATGATCTGAAATTGAAATGAAAGCAGTTATGGCACCTACCCTGTATCCATCATAAAATTCAGGCTGTGGAATTAGTAAATACTAAACACGTCAGATATATCAGCATATGTATTGTGTCAATCCTACCAGAGTCTAGACTGGGTAAGTTTTTCTGTGTTGTGTCAAATTAAGCCACAGGCTCTACTCCTGGTGGCGCCCCTCTGTCAATTCCTTTAAGTTTCAGCTTTGCAACAATACTCCCCACAGAACCGAACTCTGGTTTCCCGCAGGCTACCCCCGGGTTATGGAAGCAGATAACCAATCAGCATCATTTATGGTCAGAACTACAACGGCATCTGATCATCTTCAAACCTCCAACTTTTGCTCTTGATTGAGGAAAACATGCTTGCCATGCACCATCTCTAGTTTGTCTTGTGACAATCCATCAATCTCACCTCTAACGTCACAATACAAGTGGTCCCCAACTGCTCAATTCAATCATTGCTCCACCGTAGATAGAAACTGACTGCAGACATAAAGGAGGCCCTTTTCCAACATTCCATGCTTATCATATGCAAGCTTGAACAGTCTGCTCTGAGCACTCTAATTTTTTCAGAGTAAACCTACTGGTCATGAAGAAAAAAACTACCAACGATGCACAGATGCAAAACGGATGCATAGGTAGGTAGAGTTGTGAAGGCCGCAGCAATGCAGCAGACACCTACTACAACTTCACCAGCAGGGCTGCATGGCAGATATAAAAGCAGTTGACACCAGCAGAAAGGACCTGGAATGTGTATGGACAACCAAAGTCAACTTTGGACAATGGCATGGGGGCCACATATGTGACCATGAACCTGAGTTCGGGCTGCAACTTTAATATATACTAACAGAGTTGGAATTACAGTGACTGCTGACACCAGACTTTACCTCCAGTTGGCCCTTATTTGAAGTGTACACATTCCTATCACAGGGCCTAGACAGTGTCCCGAGTTGTTATTTTTCATTACTACCTCCCCATACCGGGGGTGGGTAATTTGTGTGCCTGCTGCTTTCCTTGTATGTGTTAGCTGTTCTGCATGCTCCCTCTTTGGAATCAAACTCTGATTCCCCATTACCCATAGTAACATCATACACACTTAACCGGCAGTTGATAGGGTGGACTCTCAAGAGACCCATCACCAGGCGTAAAAGCCAGTGCAATTGACCAGGGAGTTATCTAGAGTCACCAAAGCAGAGTGTGCTACACTTTGGCTCAGCCACTGCACACCATGCATGTGTGTGCCATGAAAAGCAATGACAATGGTGAGAGAACAGAATTACATGCATTGGTCTCAGTCTAATATGTAGCGCCATGGCCTGAAACAGTTGACACAAGTAACTATGCACATGATGGCATGAAGACATCAACAGCACACTGACCGATTGTAGCCTGTGTCTTGTGTATTAGCTCTAGAATTGCCACAGTTATCCATTGCCTCTGGATGTACAAGATTTTCATAGAGAATAAACCCATGAGCAAACAAAAGTGGCAGAGGAGGTGGTAACAGCCTGCAAAAGTGAGAGACAAACAATGCGAAGTAGCTAATCATTCAAAATCTTGGGTTTTCACTGCTTGAGACGGATGAAGAACAGAGGGATGGATATTGGCGATAGCAAATGAAGTGTTATGACAGAACAGGCAGGAGATCACAAATCACAAGAGTGGGTGCAAGTATCAATCACTAAAGTAAGTGATTCGACAGGACATGAGAAAACAAAAAATACTCCTCAATTTGTCTCCGTCAACCGAACCGACCAAAGAACCAACAGTGGCAGCACTTTCTTCACTTCTGCCTGCCAAAACATGATTCCCCTCTACATTACGATTGGTAAAGGGGACATCTAAAGTGGACAGAGGTGCCAAGGGAGCAAGCCAAGGGTTTTTTCTCAGAGAAGAATGTCCGACAACTACTATTCCTAGAGGTCTTGCGAGCGACTTTTGAAGCTTTCACAGATAACTATTTTCTGAAGAAAGCTAACTCTGACAAAAATGATGATGAGGACAACGACAATGAGCAGAGTGGAACAGGCAAGGCTGAGTGAATAACGACACCTTGTCTGCACGCACAAAACATGATGGACAATGATGAAAACGGCTAAGGCGGCAGGACACTGCAGCAGAAACAGAAAGAACAAGACGAATGATGAATGATCAATGAAAGTTAGATTGGGAGAACAGATAAGCAAGAAAAAAAAAAAAAAAGGACACACACAGCAGTAAGAACACGAAGCATACCACCGTTTTGCATAAACTTACTGACCTTAAGACATTAATTGAACACAGATGAACTTCCTAGCAATATAGTCATTGACTCTATTTCATATTTTGCTTTTTCCTACAATTTCATAGTAGAAGCAAGCAAAACTGTTTCAATACATCTGCGAGGTTAATAAAATAAAATTTATTTAATTATAGAATTATTTTTTTTTAATTTTTATGAAATTTTGAAAATCAACAGACGCTGACGTTCACTTCACTCACGTACCACAACAATGACACATGCACTCACTAAAGACAGCCAGCCATACCAGGACCAGGCTTGTGGCCACCGAAGTCACCTACTGTGACCACTTTTGCCTTTTGAACTTTCT